CCTTGTGGTACTTGTACATCACCCATGTAATGAAAGGGCAATACATTGACAAAACTTCAATGGGTATTACCCCTTTCTTGAGCAACTATTGGAAGGATTGTGTTAAACGTCTCATAATGTCTTAGACAGAGGTCTGATAACATTCTTGTTTCTTTTGTACAATTTGTAGATTACTATGAGGACCTGTAGCATTGCATACCCTGGGTTTCCTGGATTCATTTTTTTACAAACCAGAAGCTTTGCCTTACTATCTACTGTAGGTGATGCAGAATGCCATGTAGCAGAGCAGCAGGAAGTAAATTTAAGAGTCTCGTACATTCCGCCCTCACAATCTCTTTCAGAAAACAAGTGCAGAAAGTGAGTATGTCTAAAAACAGACTTAAGACTGATCTTTACTATCATGCTTTTGTTTAAGTAGTGTAGCTGAGCTCCCCATGGTTTAAAGGAAGATTTTCTCAGCAGGTATCCCTTTAGCAATGTTTTTCTGATGTGGTTCTCTCTACTGTTGCACCCCTGACTAACATACACCTCTGTCTGAGTATGGGTCACACTTTCCTCTACATCTCACGTTGTACATCTAGTATGAAAATTAATACTACCCACAGTGATAAGCATAGCCTTTATTCCGTCCTAATAATTTAGGGAACAACGCTGTAATGTTCTGATATTCAGAAGTTATATTTCTGCAGAGAGCAGTATTAAGGCAAGATATTTTGATGGAGCTCAACACTTCTATCTCATGTTTTACTTTTTCCTGTATTAAGAATAAACTAGTATTAATGTAGCATTAATAGTATTCATGTTTAAACAGAAATAAGCAAAGGAAATCATTGTACAACAATATTAAGGCTTAAGAAAAATAAATCGTGGTGGCAGTAAAAAAGTAGTGAAAAACAAAACAGATGTCATATACAGTAGGAAGAACACTTCCACATATGGCCAGTTGTACGACATACTCCACTGTAGCCTAAATCTCTAAATTGTTTCTGCTCTTATTGTCTTTCTTTCTATTTTTAAAGAAATGACTGCAGGCTTTACTTTGTAACTTTTAAGAATGTCTTTTGGTATTAAACAAAATAGCTACCAGCAGGGTAGCTATTGATTTTAAAGCTGATTTATCACAGAACTAAGAAAAACATTTTTAAACAATTAAAACATATAAAAAACTTTAGAATATAGGTTTAAGATCATAACAGACTACGCTAGTATTTTGCTTGGAATGGGCATTGTAGTGTTGCTGAATTTGTATCCTTTTAAAAATCCTTTTCCACTTTTTGTAATAATTAAGTATTGTATGTGCTTTACACTCTGCTTTCTAAAAAGACACAACTTAAAGACTCGAGAGACTAAAGCTTAGTGATCTGTTCTTCCTCTATACTTTGAAACACATGCAGTCTTACACACACAAAAACATCAGCAGGAGTATGGATTATCTAGTGTAATCCACTCTCGGAGACTGAGCAGCCATTGGGGGTAAAGGTGAGTGGACTGAGCTCAGAGAGAGAAGAAGAGACGTGAGGTTTATGGGATTTCCCAGAATTCCATATCCCTCTTCATCCTGCCTTGGATGGGAAATGCTCATGTTAAAAGAGTATTAGCTATAGTCTGAAGAGACTGAAGGGGATAAAGAGCTGTGGGAGATACTGTACAGAGCTGCTCATCTGAAATATTGCACATGCTAGCTTCAATCCATGGCATTACCAATAAAGAGATCTTTTTGGTGTCCTCTTTTTTGTTCCTACATACCAAAGTCCAAATCATTAACACATTATGTTAAGTAGGAAGGGTATAACTACATGTGATTATTGCATTATTTTATATAAAATTCATGCAACTGTGAAGATACCTTCTGAAACACAATTTTGAAAGAGCAAGCTACATTGACTGTAGTTATTGAAATGAACACTGAATACAATATTTAGATGTTTTTAATGTGAGACTTTTCATTCTGTGTAACTATTCAATGGTAATGGCCTTACCAAAAAATATTTGTGTTATTGGTATACTAAGAAGATTATGAAGAGCATATGTGCCTTCTCCCCAGCAGTAAACAAACATACTGTATGTACATAGTCTGGCCATCAATCTGTTACTTTACATTTTAGATAATCCATTCATCCCATGTTCAGATTCTAAGGCTAAAACCATGATTACTAAATCATCAAGCAAATGTCTTTCATTAATATTCGCTATTCACTAATATTCACTTTATTAATATTAATTAAACTCTATGTTTTTTATTAAAATGTTTCTTCCAAAAAATTCTGGGGATTTAACAGAAATAATATTTCCTGTATCTGCTGCAAAGAACATAGAGTAAGCAAACGTGATGCCCTACATGTCATTCATAATAATGGGAGAACAGCACTGAATTCCAAACACTTTGATTGCATTTTTGTTCAGGCAGTTTAAGGGACCCTCTCAGCTTGATTCAGCAAAACAGCTTTAGTGTGCTATAACCTTGTTGATATTATGTTTCATATTTTATTAGGTTTTTTTTATTTTGATAATTAAATTTAATCATTTACAGTATGTAGTGTAGTTTCATACATTAGTATACCTTTAAATATGGCATTTTACATTTTGTCAATTGTCATGTACTGTAAAGTAGAGAAGCATTAACATTTTGTCAAAAACAAACAATAAGAACAAGACATACATTATAAGAAACAAAGTTACTGTTAAATTAATTTATGGATTCATTTTTCAACATTACTGTTGAATCTGTAAAATAAACTATGACAATATAACAGACCGACTACCATCCAAAGCAGTGACAACTGTTCATATTCCGTGCAAACCATTTCTTTTTTATCAGTTACTGTATATGTCCAAAACTGAAGAAGTGAAATTTCTCAGCTACTTGAATTCAGTGCAAAGTGGCAGATTTCCAGTAAAATGAACAAAAGATTTCATATACAAGACCTTGAAGCTCAGCTCATGGTTCATCTTTGAAAACTGTTCACCTGTCAGACCTGACAAGCACAACAAGACAGCAGCACGATTTACAAAAATAAAATGCAAACAACAACAGCATGAAGCATACAAGCACACTGGCAGTAAGTCCACTGTGTAAAACTGAGGGCAAAAACAACAACAAAACAAATAGCAGAACCCTCCACGGGCAACTAAATAAGCTTCTTTAAACCATTATTAATAGAGAGCACCTCTACAAATGAATACCCTCTGGATATTTTTAATAAACAAGTATTATGTAGTAAGTGCAGACTCTTACTTTTAGGAAAAGATCCTTAATGAACTAGTTTCATTTTTTAATCATTCAACATATTTTAGAAATCTTTTGAAGATATTGTAGACATAAATTACTGTCTGGCTAAATGAGTACAACATTTAAGGGCCTTATATTCAAACCAAGTGCATAAATTCCATAGGAACAGTAAGTATCTAAGGGATTGCATACAGGGAGCAAAGCCTTTAATGCAATCCATTAATCTGCATTTCTTTCTGAAACGTCTATGCTTAATGGAGATCATAACTGAAGTTTAAGAGAGAAGGACTATCCATCTATAAGTCCCAAAAATGTTCTGTCTAAATATAAATAAAAGACTCCCCTTCCTTTCCCTCCACTCCTTGCCCTTTCAGGAGCTCTTTTTCTCCAACTAGTAATTCCAATTACTCCTTCATCATCTTTCATGAGAATGTTGTTATTCCCATAACCTGGCAGGTTAAACCCAAATTAACTAAGTCTTATTTTTGTTTCATTTCACACATTATTTTTAAAACATAATTTTCAAAAAATAACTATCTGGATAAGTTGCTGAAGTATATTTAACCAAAGTGGTAAGAAACATGAAACTTGTGAGATCAACCTCTAATATTGCTGTTTCAGTAGTTTAACAGAATACTGGTATCCTGCAACAGGTCAGTATCTCACACAGAGCACAGCAGTAAAATAAAATAAAATTATTGTTATTGCCATTATTATCATCATCGTCATCATCTTTCTATTTAATGCACATCTTCCTTTTACATTTGAACAAATGATGTATCTGTGGTAAATAAATCGCACTGCTTTCTGTCACGATATTAGTTCCCCCTCCTTAAGGGTGCTCCAGCCCTTTCACTAAAGACTTTATTCTATGCACCTGCTCCCTATTCCCAGCCCACCTTAAAAGCCAGGCGCTGACGCTCATCCGGGCTCTGCATCTGATTTCCATATCGTGCGAGTCCGGGACCTGGAAGCGCCTGGTCCCGTTAAGGTTTTAACCTCGGTTCCCGTTCCCGTTCCCCGTTCCCCGTCCGCCGGTTCCGACCCGGCCTTCGTGGTTTTTAACTTGTTCTGATGGATCTTCTGGTTTTGGACTTTCTCGTGTGTTTTGGATATTCCCTAAGGACTACTCTCTCGGATTGCTCGCCTCGGCCACACCTCCCCCGTGCACCAGCGCACCGTGGACACGCCCTCCTGTCTTCTGCCCCGTATTCCTGCATGACGTTTCCCTAGTGTTTCCCCACTCCGTCGGATTGTGTCATCCGCATAGGGTCCGGAAAGAACTGTTCGTTACACTTTCTTTTCCTGAACATTCACGAAATTACAATTTTCGAGATTCCACACCTAAACTATACATCAGAATGTCTATGCGTGCAAAGCAACTTACTGTCAAATTGAGACACTGTAAGGTTGTATTATAGAAACAAATAATCTTTATCTCTTCTTTAAACAGAGAACCAATAGTCCTTGAAAATATAGTATTAGCCAATGCTCCAGTATATGTTGCAATAATTGGTAGAAGAAATAAGAAAAAGAAAAATAATAATTTTGGAGGAGACAAACTTCACTGAAGTGCAATCCTGATATATCCTTCTACACAATAGATCAAGCAGAGAAGTGAGAAGCTGCTTCACAGTAGAACAGAATCATCTAGCTTCACATATAAAACTCTAATTGGAACCTTACTGAAAAGCTTGTCCAACTAATATCATTATGATTGATTGATGACTGTTTTAATAAGTAGAGTGCAACGCTGTCCTGGTGGACTGACCTGGTGGATGAAAACTTGCGCCCCACGGGGGCTCAGCAGGAGAATGGCACGTCTCAAGGTGTCTCTGTAGCGGTTCAGCTCTTCTGTCCGCATGGTGGTGAAGAGGTTGGCGAAGACACGGCTGATATTGCGGTCGACACGCTGCAGAGACACGTCGAGTCCAAGCCGTGATGCCTGGTCAAGGAAGCTCTGCAGGCCCCGGATATCTGCAGGAGAAGAGCAAAGAGGCATGAGCTGGGCCCAGTCAGAAGAACATGGACACACTGGAACCTTCAGTTACTCATCCATCCTGATCTCTCATTTACTTACTGAAACTATTATTACCTTCTTTAATGAAACAAAACCTGAAGGAGCCATGTCTTGGCATTAGTTCTTAATTCGTGCATAAACATAGTGTTGCCTTTAAAAGCTTTACAAACTCAGAGGTTTTGTAAGCATTTTTTAATCGGCTGTTGCTTCAGGCTCAATAACAAGACGAAGTGAGAAGTTTTGTGGTTGCATGGGTATTGATTACCTGTTCAAGTAAAGACTTCAGGTAGTCTGGAAAATCTTCAATACACAGTCATGTGCCTCCATATTACATTTTGTTTACTTACAGCTATGGACTTGTCATTCTTTGTGCTTAATTTCAAACTGTCCACACTCCAGTATGCCCATTCCCCCACATACATCCACTCTATCCCATTCACATTGAGCTCCTGCACCTCAACATTAAGCACTACATTCCACAAACAATTATTTTTTTCAGTTCTAACAATATTGTTTGATTTTGTATGCCTTATTGATCATCTTTGAGAAAAGATTTTATTTTAATCTGTTTCTTCTTTATAAACCATTTTACAGATAAATACAAAGGACATTTAAAATAATTATATAAGATAATACCTTTCCGGCTGTCAGATACTAAGAAACCAATTACATTGGCAACAGTACAGAAATGTAATATTTACTGTAAGTAAAATAAGAAAAACATTTAAATAGACTGTATTTACTTTGTAGAGAAAATCCATGCTTTCTCTCTAAGTGCTCTATAGAGCGATCCTACTTATTGACTACCCTATATAATTACATGTGTGAACCCAATAACCCACACATTACATTTCTTGGGAGTCTTTTTTCCAAGTAATGGCTACTTCTACATATTATAATCACATTTCAGTCCCCTTGTAAAATCATTGTATACAAACCTAGCAAAGATACTGTAGTACTGAAAGCCTATTTAGGCCTTGCATGAATAGTAGAATGAAAAAAGCTCTGAAAAGAAAGTGCATTTACAGTAGGTAATAGCTGTGTTGTGCCCAGTGTAAAATCTGTCTTAAAAATAAAAGAGCAACAGGTCATTATCTCACACAGAGCACAACAGTAAAATAAAAGAAAATTACTGTTGTTATTGTCATTATTATCATCATCGTTGTCGTCATCTTCCTATTTAATGCACATCTACCTTTCACAATTGAAAAAATGTTGTTGTATCTGTGGTAAATAAATCGCACTGCTTTCTTTTCTAAAAAAATCCCAAAATGATAATGTACAGTAAAATCTTGCATATCTGTGATTGCTGATCCTTCCGGTTACCACACCTAAAATATACATCAGAATATCTATGCGTACGAAGCAACTTACTGTCAAATTGAGACACTTTAAGGCTGCATTATAGAAACAAATAATCTTTATCTTCTTTAAACAGAGAACCAACAGTCCTTGAAAAGATAGAGGCAGATCATTATTAGCTAATGGTCCAGTATATTTTGTAATAATTAGTAGTAGTACTAAGAATAAGAATAAGAATAATTTTGGAGGAGACAAACTTCACTGAAGTGCAATGCTGATATGTCCAACTACAGATAGATCAGTCAGGAAAGTGAAAAGCTGCTTCAAGGTAGAACTTTAAGTAGAGTAGTGCTTATCCATGACATTGCTTGTCTCTTCTATTTCGAAAAAAAGTAAAAAGTAAGTCAGGTTTAATGTCTAACCCCAATTATGGCACCTCCTGCATCACAGTATCCTTTAGCACCAGTCTGTGGCAGTTGTTTTGGGAACATTTAACTAAAAATTTGAAAAATGTTCATCTAAATTTGTAAATGTAATGTTTTGGAACATTAAACTGTAGTTCAGGAGTATGTGTGCTCTTTACTGGTCCACCAACACCACTCACAGTCACAACCTGGATTTCCTCAGAGGTCTTCTGTCCCGGGACTGACCAGGCCCAGCCTTACTTACCTTCCGAAATCTCATTAAATCAGGCTACATGGTGGTAACACAGTTGCACCTGCAAAGTCTCTCAGTGGCTTTTGACCTCCGAGTTATATACAGTAGCACCTCCTGAAACAGTAAAGAATTTCCACCATGCCAAAGGGACAGACCTTCTATAGCAGGAGAATTCAACATTTTCTATCTTAGTAGGGGACCATATCATCATATTGGACTCAACAAGCCATGTTGCACTTTCTCATTCTCCACAGCAACCTCTGTGACTAACAGGCATCAGTCTCTGCCATTTGAGGAACTGCAGCACTCTCCTGGTCAGGATTCAATCATGCTCTCTCTGGAACCTCCCATCCTTGAGCCTCACTGCACCTCTTCATTGTAAGATTCCACTATACCAAAAGGCCAGGCCTCCCACCATGGGAAAATTCAATGCTATTCAGTTTCCTAGGGGATTGTGTCAACTTGTAACAGACAAAAGAAGTCCTGTTACAATAGCATCAAGTAATCAGACTCCAGCTTTTTCCCCATACAGCTTACCTCTAGTAAATCTCCTGCTGACTTCTAAAATATTCCAAATGTAAAAATGAACTGTTGAGATTTAATCTCAAAAAGAATAACTCTCAATCTCTAGCAGAGGCTTGGGGATGTAAAGGCTTTTTTAAAAAATAACTTTGATATTTTATTTATTTTTACTGCAAGAAACTTTTGAAACTAAAATTCTCTCCATGTGATGTGTTGGAAGCAGACTACAGAAAAAAAAAATATTTATCTGCCTAGCACCTTCCTGCTGCGGTTTCACAGATTTCAGTGTATTAGCCCTGACAGGAGGCTTGCTGGAGCTGGCAGAATAACTCCTCTCATGTTGTCACTCCTCTTCTCTCCACTTGTCATCTATTCAGAACAAAACAATTATTAACAGTTTCACTACTTTTATTATATAAAAACACCTGCCATAAGAAAGTCTATCTTTTAATGTGTATTTTTTAAATGTACTATAGCTTACATATTGTCTAGAAGCAGTATAATTTCAAGGCTCTGGGTTCCCAAATAAAAGGTCATAAGTCCCAGTTTCCTCTACAGATACTGTTCTGCTTTTGTATACTGAACCTGATTACAGCTAGAGCAAGCTTGTTTTGCTGATCTGCTAGGCCCAAGAATAGAACCATTTTTATATTTCCATATACTGTTAAGGGGCCAGACCAGGACTTTGTAAAGGGGAGGTTTAAATAAAGGCATGGGGGTGAGTAAAAGTGTTTTTGTAAATGCTGCAATTTGATGAATAAGATTACTAGTTCTGAAGTAGTGAATTCATCAGGTGAAAGTATATCTGATTTCACTTCCTGATCTGCTGTGCAGTAAGGTTGCTGATTTATAACAGCTGCCACTCATCACCCAGGTGAATGCTGGACATTGTAAAAAATCCTGACTCTATCTGCACAATAACGGCAACAAGAGCTTGAGTAAAAAAATCATAGTAAGGATACTCCCTTATAACATACTGTAATTACTTATTTTATAACAACAGACCTCTGAACAAATTGCAATAGACGGTTTAAAAAATGCTAACACAATAGGTGTGATTAATGTACAATACATGATATGATTTTTTTTCTCATATTCCTTGTGATTTTCAGTTTAAAGATCATACAGTATGTGTTGCTCACTTAACTGTCACTACCAAAAAGAAACAAACATTGCAGGCCCTTCCATTGCAGTACTTTCATACAACCTGCTGTACTGTTCTTTATCGATCCTGATAATTGTCTGTTAAATAAATTACAAGCTTGTTTCGGTGGAACTGTGAGTTGGAGTGGATTGGAGGTTGTGTATCACTGTTGTAGAGTATTCCCTTCTAACAAAAGCATCTGAACATGTAAAGAAAAACTTGTGAGGAATCTACAAGATCATCTATAAGTTCCAGCAGTTGTGAATGAGGTCCTTGGCAGGCCATTTGAGCCCATTCTGAAGTCACTTCTACAAGTTCCGCAGCTAAGAAGCTTTTGCTGAGCATGAGACAAATCCTGATTTGAATGAACTGTGGCACTAAATGCATTTTTTTTTCACTTTGCTGAGAGTAGGGGGTTCTTTATTAAGAGGAGATTGAATTTTAAAACTAGAAAACAGCTATAGAGCACAAAAAGATTTTTCAAAGCAAGAAGGCAGTTAAATATATTTAGGATAGGCCAGGGGAGAAACTACTAGATTAGTTCTAGCATTTTAGTAGATAGAAAGTACTCCTCTTTCTTTAAAATAATCTATCTGCAGTGAAAATACAGACATGGAGTAAATGTTGAGTGTTTTGTCCACGCAGCATTTTGATTACGTATGCATATGCAAAAAGCATACATCGGAATGTGAAGTATGCTCTAATGAAATACAAAAAATATTTTTTGGCATACAGAACTCTACATGCCTTTTTTCATCACCAGTACCATAGATCAGTCAAAGATACACTGCACTGCAAATGATGAGAATAATGGATATCTATTGGACCAACCATTTACAGTAGGAATAACAAATTGTAGCACTGGTCAGTGTAATACAATGCAAAATTTACTTTTCGAGGTTTCACAGAATTATTGCAACAGGTTGCACAACTGAATTTATTTACATTACAGCAAAAAATGGCAAGTCATTAACATAATTCAGTATAATTGCCACTATTCATTATAATTGCCAGTATGAGTTTTGTGAATTTACTGGGACAATTTATTAATTGTAGCAGTAACCACGAGGTGATTCTTATGGCTATTAGAAAATCAATCGATCAGAGACACAAACACACGGATTCCATACATGATATACATTTATTAATACATAACAGGTGCATATAACACATATACTATAACAATCTGCCTGGATACAGATGGCAGATCTTATTGTGAGGGTTATCAAAATGCAAGGTACTGTATATAATCACGAAGAGATGCAAAATACAAAGAGATACAAAAAAAAAGTTTATACTGCTGTAAACCATTCGGCTATACTATCGTTAATC